AATGTGCTGCTGTTGCAGGTGAAGCTGTGTGACTTTGGCTTTGCACGCATCATTGGTGAGAAGTCCTTCCGGCGCTCTGTGGTGGGCACTCCCGCGTACCTGGCCCCTGAGGTGCTCCGGAGCAAAGGCTACAACCGCTCCCTGGACATGTGGTCAGTGGGAGTTATCGTCTACGTGAGCCTCAGTGGCACGTTCCCATTTAATGAAGATGAGGATATCAATGATCAGATTCAAAATGCAGCGTTTATGTACCCACCAAATCCTTGGAAGGAAATTTCTAGTGAAGGTAAAGAAATTAATTTTCTCTATTAGAATGTTTGTGTATGGGGGTAATGTTTTCAAATGCTTAAACATCAAGGTTCATTTAGGAAGGAGTGTGAAAATTATTGATAGTTTGAGTATAGTAGACTATGCCAAAGTAGATAAATATAAGGTAAATATATTTGTGAAATATAAATTGTGGAATACAATGCTTTAGATAATTTTCAGGGCAGGGGAGTCAGGAGATTTAGCAAGAAATACAAATTTCATGCATGATGAATGGGATGAGTAATCTGACACTTCCCAAAAGTCCCAAAGGAAAGTTAATTCATGTGTGGGTATTTGCTGAATGCTGGTATATTTTATCTGAACTATAATCACAGAAATGGTTCAAAGTTGAATCTGGAATTTTAGTTTGTACATTAGGAAATACAGATTTAAGTGTCAGGTCTGAACAACCTAGAAGTTTACAAAGCTGGTCTCTAGAGCTCTCCAGTGCCAGCTTTGGTTATGTGTTGTTACCATGTTTGGTTAATACATGGTTAATACACAGGTAGATGTGGAAGGACCTATACAAAAGTATACAACAGTAGAAGTACCTATATTATTGTGGAGCACAGGATTATGCTCAAGCTTCTTGGGCATATCTGAAAATCACTAAAATCAGTTGGGAAAAAGATTAACGAACAACACAGTAAAGCTTTTAGTGTTTCCGTCAAAAGTAGGGGGAACTTACTCCATACCTATTTTGTAGCCACATTTAACATAAGCAAAGCTAAATATAAAATTCAAGAGCTTGGTTAAATACAAAGGAATTCAGTGTAGGATACACTCACACATAAAAAAAAAAAATTTCTAATGCAGCATGTGAATGATGACAGAGGTGATTTGTATTTTAACAATATAATTTTTGTTCTTCTTTGCCAGCCATTGATTTAATAAACAATTTGCTTCAAGTGAAGATGAGAAAACGTTTCAGTGTTGACAAATCCCTTAGTCACCCATGGTTACAGGTAAGCCCATCTGCCTTTTTCACTATGTTTATAATGGGTGAATAATTTTTTTGGCTGAAATCCTTCAGAGGCTTATGAAACCTGCAAGTGTCACATTCTGTTTACAAGCATTCATGAATGCATGAGCATTTCTAGTTTTAGCTTTACATTTGATGTGCTCCAGGGTTCTGACTAGCTATGAATCCCTTTTTTCCTCAAGGGAAATTTGTCTTACTGTTTCTCCCACCTTTTCCTTTCTGTCTGACAACAACATGGGTTTACTCTCCTGGCTTCTCCCCTGACTATGGGCAGTGATGAGTGCATGGAGCCCTGTGATGTCAGCATGGAGCCAAACATTATTTGTTCAGTGCTGAAGTGGACACATGGCCTGGTGTGTGCCACAACTTGTAGTCCCTTTAGAAAAGATTTGTTTGGAATGGAGTTTATCTGCTGCTTTGATGACCTTAGATACTAGCCTATTTAATTTTGAACTATTCTTTGTGGATAATGTTGGGGCTTTTTTTTTTTAAAACAGATCTTGTTGGTTGTATCTCGTGGCTATTTACACTAAAAATGGACACAAACTGCAGAATTTATCTGTGGGAATGTAGTGCTGCTGTTTCTTAAAACTGCTTCCTTAAATCTCTTTTACTCCTTAGGATTATCAGACTTGGCTTGACCTCAGAGAATTTGAAACACGCATTGGAGAGCGCTACATTACCCATGAGAGCGACGATGCACGCTGGAAAGAACACGCTTACGAGCACAACCTTGAGTACCCCCAGCACTTCATTATGGCTCCCAATCCAGATGACATGGAAGAAGACCCTTGATTTGTTTATTATGCTAAATTGCAGCAAAGAAAGATACTCCAGGCAGAAGCTAAGTGGAACAGCTATTGCTCTTTCCAAATGCCATACACATAGTTTGGTGTGTAAAGCCCCAGAGGATCCTCCATTGCCATGGGAATAGACTGCTGTCTGCAAACTTTTCTCCATCCCTGACTTTAACTCAGAGAAGTTACTGAACAGTGGGATACAGAGCCCTGTTGGGTAGCATTTCACCGAGCTGGGTGGCTACAAAGCCATTACTGAGGTGTAGTGTGTACAGACTGAATGCTTTGTTTTTCAAGGGGTTTTGTTTTTTCATAGCCTACGCAGTAAGAGTTTTGTAATAGTTTTCTAATCCCTATTTACTAGGCCATAGAGGACTGTTTTCTGTTACTTAGATACATCTCCCATTTCTCAGACTGTGGATGGTGAAGAGACTCTATGAAGAAATCAGAATACCTTGGCTAAAGCAAAACATGGTGGTTTAGTTGAATACAGCTTCTTAGATGAAGGAATAATTTGCTGCTGTTTAGACAGTTAAATATGTGTGTCTTGGCCCTAATTGAACTTTTTACAGAAAGCAACCAAAAAAAAAAAAAGGATAACCCCATAACTTCTTACATTCCTCTTGAATTGCTGGCTGACATTCTAAAGAGATGACAACCAAAGTTGTGCTAGGCTTTTATTTTGTCTGTTAAAAAAAGCAATAAGCCACAACAGTGCGCTGCTGTGCAAGGCTGGCACGTCATTGATACACACCAAAGGCATTTTGCCTTAAAACTACACAAATAATGCAGAGGGCACTCAAGACTTGATGTAGCATATCCTTTCACTCTGGAAGACCAGCTTCTAGCAGAAGGATGTGGAAAAATAGGGAAAAATACATGCAGCTTTCTTCTGTTGTTTTGAGTAATAAGATTTTTAAATTCTTCTAATATTTTTCTAATTTTTTAAGGTTCCCTGGACTTACATCAGGAGTAGTTTGTAGCCTGCTAGCTTGTTATGTTAACTCTGCTCAAAACCTAGAAGTAACAGTGGACAGCACATCAGCTGTTGCTTCTGCCAGGGCAGCTGGATTGTAGGAGAAAGGACTTTGCCTTCCCACCTTAACCTGCAGCCCCTCCCATCCTCTTTACTGTGCTCAGAACTGTTTGAGCTGAATGAAGAGTCCAAAAGCAACTCCTAACTCAATTTTTTCTGTGCGCATGCCTCAACTGAAGGATTCCCAACCACTAATTGGACTTGTGGCACAGTAGAGGGGAAGCAGCAGTATTCTTTGGAAATTATTCCCTTGGACAGTTCAACTTAATGGTATTTCAAAGAAGTTTGAGGCTGTAATACTAAATGCAAATGGAGGAGGTTTTTTGGTCTTATTTTAAAAAATGAAAAGGGTGAAATCTTTTTTTTTTTGTGGGTAACAGTGTTGTGCTCCTGGAGGGTGCTAGATGGCTGCATGCATCCCTGATGTGCCAAGCTGCTTAACTGGAGCTTAGTTGGAAATATTTCTAAAATACTGATACAGGCTTGAACTGCAAAGGCAGTGAGAGGCTTTGGGGTATCTCCTCTCTCCTACAAAGATATTTCTTTATTTGTTTGTGTGTAGATAAGTATTGTTTTCTACTGTTTTTATTCAGGTAAGGAAACAGGTGAGCAGATTTATAAGTTGTTAGATATACCTAAAATGTTACATGGTTAGTTCAGAGATGGCAGCTGCTTGCAGTAGCAGTGACCTGGAAGTGGTCAGTGGCAGCTGCAGAAGGATGTGCCCACAGGTAGATCTGGGTCTGTAACTCACTCTGTCTTTCCCATTGCCCTTTATCTATCTGCCACTGCATTTTGTAGGTGTCTGTGTTGGCAAAGGCTGAGTTCTGGATTCTTAACCCTGTTTAGAGAGGGTTTCAGGACTGATTGTTCACAGAGGCACTGCTTTTCATCTGCAAGCAGAGCAATCACCTCTGACATTGATAGTTTGGTATTTTTCTGCTCTTGGCAAGGAAAGCAGTGCTGTTGAAAAACTTGCAGTGCTCAAGTGACCAAATTTCAGTGAAGCCATTGCTGTATTCCATCCTAACTGTAATATGCAGATACAGTTTGGTTTTAAACTTCAGATCTTTTACTTGAGCTGTTACTTCAGGTTACCTGTGGGTTTGTTGTTTGTGTTGTTGTAAGAAAGGAAATAAAGCAGCTCGGTCACTTGAAAAAGCACAACAGCAATAGAGGAAGGAGGGGACAATAATGAAGTAGAAGGCCTGGCTTTTGTCTCTCCCCATGAAGTCTGCTCTGCTTCAAAATATTATATGAACTATTTATTCTTCAAGTTGTATTAAAATAAAAATAATGCTGTTGGCCTTTGGAGGAGATTGCCTGATCATATGCAGACTTATGGAGCCAGACAAGAGAAGCCACAAGCAGCTAGTAGTCAGGAAACCAAAAAAAATCAGGCTTACATCATGAGTAAAATTCCTAGAGTAGTAAAAATAGCTGAGTTTTTTATTCCCTTTTTTCTACCTTTACTGCAGACTTTGACAGCAGTAGGTTACAGTGTTTAATACCCTTACCCCTAGATGAATTAAGTTGCATTCATTCAAGCAATAGTGCTATGGTGATGCTAGAAAAAAGCTCATGTAAAATTTATAGCCTCAAAATGACACTGTCAAGTACTTTTATATTTTTATACACCCCGTTGTTTGTAAATATCCTCTGGTAAGCTTGAAAATAAAATTTATTTCCCTATCAGTCTCATTCTTTTTATTTACATGAATTATCTCTCCTATCAAATGTGTTTAGGAGTAAATGGTTCTATATTTTCTTGTTTGTAGTTTTATTAAGTATGTCCTGCTGTGGAAATTCAGCCAGCAGGAACTCCTTTTACATGCATCCTGTCACTATTCTCTTTATAAAAATATCTTCAGAGACGTCAAGGCATCTTGATTTTATTCAAGTACCAAAGCTTGAATACATTTAAAGTATCCTTAGTGCATGTTTGTTACTGACAAGTTTTGATTCAACTAGTAAATATTTCAATCTGTTCTTTCATAAGAACCCCAAACCACTGTTCATTCTCTGCTCTGTGTGTTCTGGCTTCTGTATGTGTAGTCTTTTATTTCCACTCATACTGCTTTGAGTAGGTCAGTCCAGAGGTTTGGTGTGCTGCACCAGACTTATTCTGAAACAGCCATCATGCATTTTGTGATAGTATTTGAAATTACTTTAGTAACAGTTCATTAAATCCAGCAACAGGTGGTAGGGGGGGAGACTTTGATTCTGGCTTATCTTTCTTGTCAGGATGTACAAGTCTGTGGTGAGGCAGCAGGGCAAAGAAATTAAAACAGTCCCCCATCTTCTCAGGATTCATCAGCATATCATAGCTGTGAAGTAACTGCTCACGAGTTGCTGTGTCACCTGAATTCTGCAAGAGCACCTGATTTAAAAAAAAAGGCAGGTTAGAGCCCCTCCTGCATTCCTATAAATTCCTGCATACCTGCAATCCCTTCTTGCATCCTTTTCACTTAACAGTGCTGTGATGGTTGGTGGAACTGGTGAGATCACTGGAGATGACCACAGCCCATACACCGATGCAAGTTTTGCATTAAGTGCTCCTAAATATTATATGATCAGTTTACTTTCAGGGATCTGGAGTAACTTACATCTAGCAGACACAATGTTCTGATCTCACCCCTCCATGCTATTTTGAACAACTTCATTTTAAAACCCAAGATTTTTTACTAGAGCTCTTGTGCTGCTTAAGAGTATTGCCTGTGGACTGGGAGAGTTCTGCAGCTGTGAACACTCTTGTACCTGCAGTCGGAGGTCAATGCCCATGTTCTTTAAAAACTCCCTCTGTTTTATAGGGCCTAATGTAGCTGTTTTTCCCTGTGCCATCTTTCGAAGGTAGCTGAAGTCAACATCTGCTGTCAGGTCTGCTGTACCTGGAGCACTCAGCACATCGTGAAGTTTGTGATTCCGGAAACCCTGAAAATGAAATGGGAAGATTACACCCAGCTGTAGCCCATCATAGCTGGGGACAGCAAAATTAAGCTGTGCCTTTGAGTGGTGACAATAGCAAATTATACATGGAAAATTAGAGATAAATGTAGCAAGATCTCAGATTAGCCTTTCCATCTGACAGAAACCCTTCTGGGTACTGATTAAACAGGAGTTACTCAGTTCTATGCAGTTTTTGCTGTTATGCCCACTAGGAACTTTATCTTACAAGAACCTAATGATCAAAGATAACAGAATCTTTTGGCTTATTGCTGTAGGGCAAATGCCTTACCCGGAAAGTGTCAGTTTTGGTTCCGTCGTGGCCGTAATCTGCAACCAGAGCAGCCCCACCATCCTTCTCTATCCGAGAGGCCAGCCTCTGCACAATGACACCAGCCTCAGGACACACTTCCACGTGGTCTCTTGTTTCTTCTGGCTAGTGCAGAGTTCAAAGACCAGAACACCTGTATTAGCAGACAAGCACAAGGCAAGTATCCCTCACACCTGGTGTCTTGGGGCTGTTGCTCTGCTGGGACACGCAGGTACAGGAGGTGCATTCTAGGCTACCTACACTGGCTTGAGCTAGTTTTTGCTACCACTCATTCTCAATTAGTATTTTCTGAGTGCTGTATTTCAGTCCTCTCTTCAATAACCTCTAGTCAAATGCAAATTTTTCTACCAAGAATATCTGTATCAGGTAACAACTTCTTACTGTAGTACTTAAGGAAAATAGCGCTTCAGCTGTGCACACCCTTCCGAGAGGCCTTCCTGTGTGAGACTGTAGCTCTGTTTAATCTCCAGTACTTAATTTTGTGGCTTTGGGTATCCAGTGCACTTCAGGAAGAAACCACAGCCACTTTCCATTAAAGGCCAGCCAGCACTGAGCAGGCAGCTGCCCTGAGTACCCTGCAGCAGACTGAGAGCCTGGCTGGGGCAGGGCCACTCTTGAGATGGTGATGCCACACACACAGTGGAGAACTCTGCCTGACACTTGCTGCCTCCGTTTGCTCTCTGAGGCATTTTCTGTGTTCAAGCTCCTATTTTGTGAAGTTTCATACGTGTGGTAATTTTTGTGCTGCAATTTCACAGCATACAAAGCTAAATGCTGGTGGAAATTTTAAGCTCTATTCATTTATAGACTGAGAGGCCTCTTCTTGCTGTCAGAGTAACTGAGAAGCACTAAATGTACTTGAAAGAGTCAATAAAGGTGTAAGGATGAAAGGATGAGCTCTGGGAGGCATAACCTCACCTGAATGAAGTTTTGTGTTGCAGGGGTCCTGGATGGTGACAGGACAAACCGCAGCTGGTCAGGAACTTCTGGGTCAATATCAACCAAGACCTCACGCCAGCCTTTCTCCGTTCGCTGTTCAACGAGCCCAAAGCACTCAGGTTACACTCAACAGGTACCACAGTATCTTGTTCATTTCATTGAAATAATACGTCAAGCTTTTTCACAAAGGTTTTAGGAACAATACATTATTAAAAACTATTCCAGTAACTGCTTTAGAAAAAGCTTGTGGTGGAGTGCCAACAATACAGGTTTAATTATACTTAAAAGGAATGAATGATGCCCTGAAGAAACATTGCTGCCTCTACTATTGAGAGTGACACATCTAATTTATCAAAATAAAAGATTTCATTCTACTGGTGACTATCATAAATTAGCTACTTCTGAATCATAACTAGCCTCTATTTTGCTGCTCTCATTACTATTCAAGTGAAAGCCCTTCAGTCTTTTGTTAGCAGTATTGCAGAAAATCATGTGGAAATTAAAAGCTGCGTTAATGTAGCATAAGGAAAAAAAAAACCCAAAACTTTGAGAGTTATCTCAGCAGAAAGAAATCCTTAGCTTTCCTCAAGTTTTTCCATTCAAAAATAATTACTAATTTTACAGTTTTCAGCTGAATTAAGACTTATTTGTCCAACTCCGTTAGAATTATTTCATCACCAGAGACAGGGCATGTGACTAGTTTGGCACCTTACTTCTGCTCTTCCTCAAAGAGAAAAAGTGTTTAAGCAGATGGTCACAATTAAAATAATAATCTTGCTATACCTGAAACTTATGTATTGGCAGGGCATCAAAGAACTCATGTGCTAGATAAAAGCTGTAACCTGTGGGTAGGTAAAAAAAGAATGCATTAAATTATTAACACTTCCAGAACAGCTTCCAGTTTAAAATATTTTTATGATTTTTAACGAATTAAGCTAGTTAATGTGGTTGTGAAAAAATTATAATTACTTGCAGCTTGCACACATTGAAGATACCATTTCTACAGCTAGCTCTAGCTACCAGTCCATGAATGTTAGATCCCTATCTTGTGAAAGAAGATTCAGGCAAAGCCAGTAAAGTGTTTTTTTTTATCCCCCATGAAAAGAAAAAGTAAGAATATAGGAAATTGGGTAGCTATGCCCAAATGAAGGTAGACAGAATAGGTAGCAGTGATGAAAATGAACCATGATCCTGCCTCAGATTCATACAAGTAAGAACAAATATGTATATAACAACTTTTCTGTCCACTGTGAAGGCTAGCAGAGATGCCCTCTGCTATCAAAAGCTGTCAGTGAAGGAAGGGCACCATCTCTTTAATGTGGCATTCAAGCTCCTTACCTGCAGGCACATCTTGAATGTCTCTGTACCAAAAAATGGGAATTCCAGTCTTGCTAATGCCTTTCATGTAAGCAGACTCATCCTCAGGGCTTGGCTGCGCCTTCCCTCCTGTCAGCATCACTGCTTGGATCTCGCTGAGTTTGGGGCTCACTTCTACCAGATGAACAGAGACATCACATTTACTAAGAACAGAGGAGAGCTGCTTGAAGACCTATAAAGGCAGATGAATTCTATTAGGTGCAGTCTTGTGCTGTGTACATTAAAGGTTTAAGTATTAACCTTTCTTCTCACTATTTACTATTCACTATTAACTATTCAAGGTAAAAGATTTTAGTTGGCTTTCACTAACAATCTCAGTGAGAGAGATTGCATTTTGGTCCTCCAGTAGAAGTGTGAGTTTCTTCATAAATCTTAATAAAGGACAACAACATGAAAAGCTAATTTGGAAGACTCGTAGCAGCTACTCTAAGACCTGTAGAAGGTCTGCCACTAGAAGAGAAATGGTTCCGTTTTCTCTGCCACCTTGAAGAAGTGTTTGATATCCCACATTTCACTATTTTTATTAACATATGTAAATAGAATAAAAGTTCTTATGTGGTGCTAAGTCCCATTAGCAATCTGTTTATGAATCAGCAGCATTTTAATTAAGACAGCCATGCAGGCATGACTGAACACAAAACATTAATTCAAAAGAAACAAGGCCCTGAAATGCCCAAAGGAATGAACACAGTTTCATTCTGTGTTATTGTACTTGCCCGTTCTGTTCCTTAAACTAAGGTCTCCATCTCAATAACACACAGCAACAACTTCCTAGATGGTTTTCAGTTTGGATAATGTTTCCCCACACAGAAATAATTTACAGTGGAATAATCCTGCCCTGCCCTTCTATCCAGTGGTGTTTGGAAGGTCACAGGCATATCTGTGCAGTGTGCACACGCTGGCCCCCAGTCTGCTTCCACCTGAGAGCCCTGGTCCCAGAAACTCCTCCATTCTAATCAGAGCCTGAGCTGCCACCCTGACTGAAGTGATCTGGCGACCAGGGAAGGGTAAACCCTGGCAGCAAAACATGTTCCCTTCAGATTTCACTGTAGCTGTGGAACACAGCCAGAAGCAAAGAACAGGAATGTTTTCACCTACCCGCAGTATGTCCTCGGTGAGGGTGCCCCTCCCTGGGCCCAGCTCCACCAGCTGGAAGGTGCTCGGTTTGCCCATGGCCATCCATTCACTGATGTACCATATTCCTATTAACTGTCAGTGAGAAACAGCACACAGGGTTACAGTAATCACTTCAGCACTTGTGGAAAATCATGCCTGCCTTTCGTCTGATAATAACTGAGATAACACAGCAACATTCGGTCTTGATATTTAAAAGTTAAGAAGAATTGTGGTACGTAACATCATATTCTTGTCTTTAAGTGTTAACATTGGTCGTTGATTGCTGTCAGCCCAGCAGAAGCAACTCTCCATCAGTAAATGCAAGGAGTCTGTTCTGGCTGGAGCAAGAACTTTCACCTAAGTGCAAGTCACTGCCCAGGTGCCTTTGTACAAGTGTTCTTCCTGACAATGCATTTACCAAAGCATCACTGAGAACAGGATTTAGCCAATCTTCCCTTCTGGAAATAATACACAAACCAGAGTGAGCCAGACCAAACTCTGGAGGTTATTTTTGAGGAGAGTTTTCACACTGGAAAATGACCATAACACTTTTTATTTATAAGCAGGTTCTGTATTACAGTAAAGTGTTACTAAGCACAGATGGTGTTTCAGACAAAGGACTTTCAGAAAAACAAAACCCCGTTTCCTCCCTCAAAACCAATTTTTCTCTTGGGAAATAACTGGAACCTTATCACTGCTACTCCAGTATTTTGACATTGATAAGCTATCTGAACATTGGCTTGAAAATCAGTTGGGATGGAAATTGGAAGGGACCACATTGGGCCTCCTGGACCATCCTCCCTGTTCAAGTAGGTCATCCTAGAGCACGTGGCACAGGATTGTGTGCAGGTGGTTCCTGAATGTCTCCGGTGAGGGAAACTCCACAACCTCTCTGGGCAATCTAAGTGCCAGTGCACAGTAAAGTTCTTCTTCAGGTGGAACTTCCTGTGCATCAGTTTCTGCCCATTGCCTCCTGTCCTATTGCTTGGCACCACGGAGCAGAGCCTGGCTCCATCCCCCTGGCACCTCCCTTCAGATGCTCACAGACATTGATGAGGTCCCCTCTCAGGGCCTCTTCTCCAGGCTGAACAGGCCCAGCTCCCTCAGCCTTTCCTCATTAGAGAGATGCTCCAGAGCCTCAATCATCTTTGTTACCCTGCACTGGAGCCACTCCAGGGGCTCCATGTCTCTCTTGTCCTGAGGAGCCAGGACTGGACTCAGCAGTGCAGATGTGCCTCAGCAGGGCTGGGCAGAGGGGCAGGATCAGCTCCCTTGACCTGCTGGCACTGCCCTTCCTAATGCACCCCAGGATTCCATTGGCCTTCTTGGCCACAAGGGCTCACTGCTGGCTCATGGATGGCTTGTTGTCCACCAGGATTCCAGCCAGGCCCGCGTGGTTGAAGTACAACAAGTAACTAAGGACGCGAGGAGCAGCGTTACCTCTCCAAACACCTGGCTTATTTCAGGCGAGGTGATGAAGTCCCCGCTCTCGCCGACGCCGCCGCGCCGCGTGTAGTAACCCTGCGAGGGGGAAGCGGCACAGGGGCCGCGGTGAGCGGGGGCCGAGGCACAGCCCCCCCGCCCCGGCCCGGCCCCGCCGCACCTGCCCGGGGTTGGTGAGCGCCTCCCGCATGTACTCGGCCACCGTGACCGGCCCGCTGGCCCGCAGCTTGCGCGCCAGGTGCCGCAGCATCGCCCCGGCTCCGCCGGCGGCCTCCGCCTCGCCCCCCACGCCCGAGCAGAGCCGCGCCGCGGCCGCCGGAGCTGTGGGGAGAGGAGGGGAGAGGAGGGGAGAGAAGGGCTCAGCGGGGTGGCCCCGCAAAGGGCGGGAGGGAAAGCGGGGAGAGGCGGCGGGACGGGGCAGCCGCCGGCGGCCCGCCAGGAGCGCGCGGCGCACGAGCGACAGCACCATGGCAGTGGCTCCGGCTGCGGCTCCCGCTCCTCCCCGCCCTGTCCCGGCCGGACGCGCGTCCGGCGTGTGCGCGGCAGCGCTTCCGGCGGGCAGCCATGGCGGCCGCGCTCTGGGACTTCGGCCTGGGGGAGCGGAGGAAGGCGGGCGGCGACAGCGGCGAGGAGGAGGACGACGACGGAGATGAAGAAGCAGGAGGCGGAGATGCGGGAGAGTTCACGCTGGAAGAGGTGCTGCGCCTCGGCGGCACCAAGGTAAGGGAGCGGGGAGGGAGCGGGAGCACGTGGCGGCCGGGACCCCCATCCCGGACGGGCCCTTGTGGGGCGCGGGGTGTGCGGGGCCCACGCAGGTGTCGGGAACAAGTTCTGTGCTCAGGGGCTGGTGAGGCTCTGGGACAGGTTGCCCAGAGAACTTGTGGATGCCCCATCCCTGGAGGTGCCCAAGGCCAGGCTGCATGGGGCTCTGAGCAACCTCGTCTAGGGGAAGATGTCCCTACCCGTGGCAGGCAGGTTGGAACTAGATAGCTTCAAGGTCCTTCCCAACCCAAATCGTTCAGGGATTCTGTGGGGAAGTCTTGGGAGTCTTGGCAAACCTTGCCCGTGACAGATGCGCCCTGTCTCCGCAGCAAGATTACCTCATGCTGTGTGCTGTGGATGAGGAGAGTGAGATGGTGGATGGCGGCAAGAAGGACACGATCGATGACCTGAAGGAAGGGGAGCTGGAGGCGTTCGTCAGCTCCCTGGGGCTCAACAAGTATGCAAAGAGTTGCCTGGTGGTGGAGGGGGATGCGGATGATGGTGATGATGGCAGCAAGGAGAAAGAGAAGCCTCCAAAGAAAGAGAAAAGCAAGAAGGAAACAAATCGTCCTTCACTAGAGGGGAAAAAAGAAAAAAAAGGAAAGGAAAAGGCAAGCAGTGTGAAAGACAGCAAGAAGAAGCAGACTGGTGGTGGTCAGGGCCAGCAGCCTTCTGCAAAGAAAGAAAGGCTGGAAGAAGATTTTGAATTTCATGCTAGGCAAGCAATCCTGATCAAACCGGGGGGCAAATGGTATGATATGGAATACACCAATGAATTCTCTCCAGAGCCACAGAATCAGACACTTTTGTCCAAGTACAAGGCCCTGGCCCAAAAGCTGTATGAACACGAGACAGACCTGTTTAAGAATAAGACAGACTATCAGAAGGGGGCCTCTTCAGCATGGATTAAAACTGTTGTGTCCTCAGGTACCTTGGCTGACAGGATGGCAGCCATGACCCTTCTCATCCAGGACAGTGCTGTCCACAGTCTCCAATTTGTTGAGAACTTGATAAACCTCATAAAGAAAAAGGGCAGCAGGCAGCAGAGCCTTATGGCTTTAGATACTTTCAAGGAGCTTCTCATTACAGATATTTTACCAGACAATCGGAAGTTGTGGTCTTTCTCCCAGCGACCCCTTAACAGCATAGTGCAGATGTCGAGTGGCAACAAGGACTCAAGAGACAGGCGGTTGATCCTTTGGTACTTTGAGCATCACCTGAAGCTGCAGATAGCAGATTTCGTGCAGGCCTTGGAAACACTGAGCCACGATTGTCTGACAGCCACGAAATCCCGAGCGCTGGCAGTGTCCCACGAGCTGCTCTGTAACAAGCCTGAGCAGGAGAAAGCTCTGCTGGTTCTGCTGGTGAACAAACTGGGTGACCCTCAGAACAAGATTGCCACCAAAGCCTCCTATCTTTTAGAGACATTGCTTCACAAGCATCCAAACATGAAGGGAGTAGTGTGCAGTGAGGTGGAGAGGCTTCTGTACCGCTCAAACATCAATGTGAAAACTCAATATTATGCCATCTGCTTTCTAAATCAGATAGTCCTCAGTCATGAGGAAAGTGCATTGGCTAACAAGCTGATAACTTTGTACTTCTGCTTTTTCCGGAACTGTATAAAGAAAAAGGATGTTGAATCCAAAATGCTCAGTGCTCTTCTTTGCGGGGTAAACAGAGCTTACCCTTACGCTGAGACTGGTGATGAGAAAGTGAAAGAGCAAATGAACACCTTGTTCAAAGTTCTGCATCTTGTGAACTTCAGTACCAGTGTCCAGGCCCTGATGCTGCTGTTTCAAGTGATGGACTCTCAGCAGACTGTGTCGGACAGGTACTATGCAGCACTGTACAAGTAAGTGGCAGGTTTGCATTTTTATATACATTCCATTTTAAGAAGTAGTTACCATTAATTTAAAGTTGTAGAAACACTTTGCTTTTAAGATCTTGCTGGTTTTGTGTTTGTTGGCTAAAATTCTTGATGTTTTGTAGGAGCTGGAAGAAAATTCATGATTTCTTTGATTTAACATGAGGATAAAAACAAAAGACAGTGATAGGTCCCAAGAACACATGTGCATTTCATCCTTTGCCACTCTTCTGGTGGCTTCCTTTGCTTCCAGTTGTTATTTGAAACTAATGGATAACTATTCTGAAATCACTTTTAGAAGTACTAGCCTGTAAAGTAATTAGGCCTGTAAAGTAATTAGGCCTGTAAATTAGGCCTGTAAATAGCCTAAAATCTTGTTTCTTTTTTTTTTTTTTTTGGTTGTTATTTTGAGGAGGAGGAATATTATCTTAAATTTTATAGATGATTTAATTTGTGTGGCTGGAAACCCTTGTGTTATAAAAGTACTGCTTTTTTTTCTTGTCCCAGCTGATTGTTTAGACTCTTTATAGGATCCTTACAGGCTTCTGTTTAGATGACCAAGAGGAAGTTACTGATTTTTTAAAATGGGAATTTCAAGTTCCCTGAGAATGTTCAGTGTATTTAAGGGCCTTACTGTGCTTGACAGCCTAGAAAAAAATTGGAGCAGAAAATGAACTTGCCAGTACAAATGTCTGATCTGATTGTGAAGTGATCTGATTGTGAAGTGTGCTGATTTTTAACCATTTGCTTTCTTTTTTTAAACAAATGAACAAATCAGATTAGTTTCTTAACACTGAATATCTCAAATTTTGAAACTGTTTTCAGTAGAACTCAGTTTCTTTTTATATTCTTGGAATGGTTTGTTTACCAAGGCAGTTTGGTTTGTTTTTTTTTTTAATCTTCAGTGTCTCGTATATATCCAGAAATATTACACAGCTCTTGACAGTTCAGGATTGAAATTAATAGTATGGAGTACTGAGGAGCAAACTGTTTTTTAGATGGCACTCTGAAAAAT